TGATAATTTCTCCCTGTGTGTGTATGCCTGCGTGTGTGCTGGAGATGAAAAGTGTTATGTATGTTTTACAATATATAAACATGATGCTTATTAACACGCATACATTTTGAAAAACTAAGTACCAATATTCACAAACCTACAGTGAATTTGAAAAGTTTTCAAAAATGCAGATGAATTTTACATTATGCATAAAGAACAGAAATGTCACCCTTAAATCCAGTAGGACTGATTGTGTTGTAAATTTTACAAAATGTCTGTTCAGAACATCCTCAGATACACTTAACAAAATAAATTGTTCACTTGTATGATAATTATCATACCTCTTACAGTTTTCCCTCTATAAATAATGTAATATTGACCATTTTTATAGAGAGTGGGCGGATAATCCCATATGTCTAATTTATTGTATTTTAATATCGTTACCGAGCAATGGACACAAGAGAGAAGACAGAATATTCCTGTAAAAGAGTACCGAAAATTTCAAAACATGACTATTGTCCTAAAAATTCGCTTTAGAATGTTCATAAAACTCGTATAATTATACCTTTAATATTTCTTCTAATCAACAACTATAAACGGAACATGTCAACAAATTAAAATGCTTTAGAAAAGTCTACGAAAAAACAGCATCTTTTGTCGATAACGTTCTTTGAAGATCGAAATTGGCCAACTCATTGTCATTGTCTTTTCAATCAAAATGCTCAAGTGTATCAATCGAAATAGAGGTAAACAGTTGATGCTAAACAATAAGCCATTGTTAAGTCTGTGTAGTTATATATCAGCCTCAAGAGAAGTGTTTTATCTATGGACATGAAATGTGGATACATATGAATTTTGAAACAGGATATTGGTATTTGGTTTCATTTTAATATCATGTCGACCAGCCTTTTTAAAATTTAAACAAAAGATAGAAATATATAATTCAATATTTGTGATATCTGTACCAGGTGCACGTAAAAATGGTATCTTAATCATCAAAACCATTAATAAAATCAGTTATGGCTACAATTTGTTAGGCTTTCGAAGGAGAAGCGAGTTTTGAACAATGCCAGGTTGACAAAACGCTTGGCTTTATAATGATTTTCTCTGCAACATAACCAATATATTAGTTTATGTGTGCCTACGTAACTCCATCCGACCGTATCACGATGTCGGGAACACACCCAATTATGGTAAGTTCAGACTACATAGTGTAAATATTTGATCAACTGTTTAGAAAAAGTAATGTAATGCGAATGACTGATGAAAGCAGGCTACGGCAGAGCGATGTCTGTAAAAAGCGTATTTTAAAATTGCATGGGCTAAGACAACAAACGTCAGTCACATCACCTTATTGTACCGTGTTGGTAACAGCGTGATGGTTTCTAACAACGGACTAGGAGCCATAACATCAGCTGAGTGATCGGGAGGCGCAATGGACCGTGCACTTGCCTTTCACCACAACGGTCGCGATAATGGGGCATGGTCTATTTGAAACTTTCACATTTGCGCCTTCTTCAAAAGTTGCTTCCTCATACTCGGTTGACAATGTTAAACATCATTGCCAGCAATCGTAGGATAAACGGCCATTCAAAGCAGACGCTTTTTGTTTTAAGCATGCACAGTTGACTGAATACGTAGAAAATCACAAGGGTGAGTGCGATGCAAGTATTCGAAGAGTTCAGCATTCAGTTTTCAAGAAAAACTCACCGGAGTATCAATCAACCTCTACAGATAATTTAAGATGGGTTTGGTATAAGTACTAATTAACCTAAAGATGGAAAGCAGCTAATTAAAAATGGTTAATAATCGAAATTGCTTTTGGTAGTAATTGTGACACTGACACGGTCGAGTTGAGCTATTAGCACGATTAAAAGACTTGAGGACAGTTACCTTTATGGGTAAACCGACTGGGAATATGTAGTATACATTGCAAGAATACATTTTTGACTGTGTACCTATATTTAACTGTTGAAATAAAGGTCTTTCCCTGGGGAACTATGTTAGCGAAGTGTTGAAGATATTGATCCAGTATATATAGTAGGAGAAAACCCATGTCAACGTTCTACAGCTAGCTTTTAGTAGCAAAAACATGCACAAGCACTGTTTCCGAATGCATCAATATTTTAGTAGATCTAATGTACAAATCCATTGAATCTATAAAAAGGGAATTTTACCTATAGACTTGTCAATTCCTACTCAATTTTATGATAAAATGGCGTTCAACATGTTGTTTGAACATGTATTGTTTTGAATATGATAAATTACCAAGAAAATTAGTCGAAATTCATCATTGTAGAAAACGCGGTCTCAGAAAGTAGTTTGATAAACCCGTTCAGTTCGCCGATCAGCAATATCCTACGCAACTGTTACGCATCAATGGCCGCCTTTCGGGAGTAAGTAGCTGGGTGCATTACATTAATTTTGTAGGAAGCTTGTTCAGAGAGTGCAAATAACGATTATGTTCAGACTGCGCTATGACTAAACAGTATTAACTAGCATAACGGTAAGTTATGACTTAAAAGATCAAAAAGGAAACGCCAATTTGAAAATGCGAGATGTCGATTTCCAGCACTATACCGCCATCTCGTCCATTTAGGACTAACCAGTTGTACTAAAGGACAACAGAAAATAGATATTTAAAGTGTTTCGAAACCTGTAGAAATTCAGAAAAAAATATATACTTTCGACTTTGTATTTACACAATGTCTACGATATTGCTTTATATGATAATTAGGGATATAAGAAGGAACAAATAATTGGGAAAAAGACAAAAAGAGAAGATGCAAAAATAATATGATATAATATAATATATTGGGTTAAAACAACAATAGCAGTAATCAAACCCTACTTTAAGATCATAATGATACAAAGGCAAGTCGAAGGTCATGCTCTCAATAAGCAGATTTATCTAATTTGAGGATATAATAATCAAGTATTACAGCAGAAAAATACATTGTTAAAAATGGATCTTCATTGCTGATGTTTTTTATAAAGAAGCATTGGACATGTATTAAAAGTTCGAAAAAAAATTGCTATAAATTAAGTATATATGAATAAAAAAAACGTAAGTTGAAAATATGCATTTACGTTATTTATGATTAGTAGTGTTAAACTGTTATATATTATTCAAATCGTGCGTGATATCTTCTACTCTAAAATTGTAGCATGAACTACTTAGAGAAAGTGTTATTTTTCTATCGACACAGCTTAAAAAAATCCAGGACTTGTTTTTATGAAACCGTTCTCATGCCCAAGCATGGATTTTGTGCTAAAACCAGCTTTACTGAAACACGTAAATCATGTCAAATGATCAAAAAGTCAAAGTAACGTAGAAATCAGAATTCATTGATGTTTCATGAATACGGGCCCAAACGAAACATCTCAACAACAACACATATGCATACACACATGCGGATTAATTAGCCAGGGGGAATAGACTTGCAGTAAGTACGTGCCTGATAAGGCAGCCTCTGCGAATTCCATAAAAACCTGCTGATTGATCAAATGGATTTAATGGAATAAAATGTACATCTATGTACTGTTAGGTGCTTTAGATTGGCTAATTCGGAAAAAGGAAAATCACGAGTTTGGATTCTTGTTTCTCCAATAAACACAATAAGGATGGCTACCCGTGGTTTGTCTTACCAAACTCATTATCTAACGTCTCTCGTCGGAATCATTTGACTAAATAAGCATACGTTATATATTATTAAAGCAATTACCGTTGTTTTTTTTTATACCATATCGCATGATTTAAGCGAGTTACAAAAAGCCTATGTTAAGGAGTGTTAACTTTGAGAGAAGGAGGAGAGATTATGATTCTAATTCATGGTTATATAAGAGAGCGAGTATCAGAGCACGATAGTTGTGTGAATCGGAGAGTAGTCAGAGGGTTGGACGATGTTTATTTGCTTTAAGATAAGGGCTTATATTTAAATGAAGGAAAACTATAAGATTGTATGTTAGCAATTAATGTTGACAATAAAGGTAAGGTCCATAAGCACACGAAAAACCAGTGACTCCGTCACATTTTTAAGCACAGCATCCATGCATGCACGAGCATAAAGACGAGTTCATGAATATGTTCTGATCAAAACAAAAAGTCATTAGTTTATGAAAATCCTGGCATAAAAACACAGTCACTTGGTTTCGGTTCGGATAAGCACACACGATTATATGTTTGACACTATTTGTGTCACGTGCATCTTTCATGTTGTAAGGTGGTAGACTTCTACCTGGGGTTTGCTGTGACCTTAATGTTTTGAGTTCATACTATACACATTTAAGATTTTTTTCAATTTTAAATGAACCATTACTCCTGATGTTTATAAATACATTAATTAATTAGTTAGGTAATTTTACGTACTTGCCTCTCTGTTTTAATAGCAGTTTAGATAATTTGGATTTAATGAAATGAAAACAATTTAATGTCATAAAAGTTTGGATTTAAAACGAGTGGCCCTGAGCATCAACAATGAGTTCCACAAGGAGGAAACCGCTGTATGATGCAGTGTAATTCATATTTGGTATATTGTATCTATTATCAATTTTAAAAGATGCAATCACCTGTGTGTTTATGTAATGTACATCTTCTGACCGTTGCAGCCCTAGTCTTTTACCAAACAAGAGAAAGACTGCTTACACGTGCTATTATTCTAAAACTGTCCCCGCCACATCCCCACTTTATGCATTGTTACCAGGGTAGCATCATCCATATTGTCACATATTTCATACCCCATCGATAATGGCGGGATACATTGAGTTTATGATTACAAGTTATTATTATGAAAGCAAGGTACTGGAGAAAAATAACCAATCATTCCAGTGCGAGGTAAAAAGAGACATTTTAACACCTGGAATAAGATCTTTGAAGTTAAGCACTAGGCAAAGCCTCGTACTGAACTTCAAATGACTTACCGTTTAGATGAGATGCCTCTGTTTACTTGACACTTTCACCTGATCTTTTAATGCATTTGTAATCTAAATATATGCTGACCATTATTTGTTTTGTCTTGAAGCACTGCTATTGCTGGTACTCAATGCAGCACCAGACATGGTCTTTGCTGGTGAGGCTGACTCAACACAGGAACAGGAAGATGTTCCATGTGTCCAGGGCGAGGTAAGGCGTTTCATATGTCCAAGAGTTATTAGTTTGGAAATATGTTATATCAAATTTTTACTTTATACATAAACCATGTACGTATCAAACGTGTCGCAACGTTTCAAGACCGACTGTTCCCATTGTCACAGCTCAGTCGACAAAGAGACTAGTCGGTCTTAAAACATTTGATACATATGTGTACTTACATTATTTGTGTATAAAGAAAACAAATAATGTAATGTGTTCCATGTTTTTAATGTCATACTTCTAGTTATAATAGTATTCAATTCTACCAGATTGTTTTACAAAAAGAAATTTGGGTGAAAGTCATTTACAGAGCACTTCGGTTTGCGTAAAGAATTTGTCGTATGATAATCGTCATATTTTCGTTGGGAAATATTAAGTTTTCCTATGTGAAATGAATAGACTAATAAATGGGATTTCTGGTTTCAATTCCACTACCACGGATTTTTCGGAAACATGTGGTCTTATTATTTTACTTTTAAAGAGTTTTTATGTAAATCTTTCTTTTGTGCACTATTTGCCATTATACCATCTCATTTGGATGTCAGTTTTGTAAACAATACGATATTCTCGTTATGGATATAAACACAATTTAGTACCTTGACGTAATGATTCTTTAAAATACTGAAATCAACGAAATATCTTACTGCTTAAATCAACCGGTCTTCAGGCTACCATTGTGATAATATATATTATGGAACAAAGATGAATGGAAACCCCTGTTCATCATGACAAAAGCATATTGACCCCACCAAACCTATTTTTATCATTTTCGTAAATTCCATCTTTACATATTACAGATTATTGAATTGTATGAGAACGCTAGTGGTAAAACATTTGTACACTTACCTTACACACTTAAATATAAAGATGCGTGTTTAAAAGGACAGTGACTCGAGGAGTCTCACATAGTCATCTCTTCTGTGTAAAATGAACAACAAATATCTAAATGAACTGAATAAGAAATAAATAAGGAATATGAGAAAAATTATTGTATTGTGAGTTGTAGCTGAAGCAGCGCATCCCCAGACAACCCACGACTAATGTATATATGCCTGAGTAATAAAATGTCTTTTACAAAACAAAAATGAATAGAGAAAAATAGTCCATGATAACAGAAATGTGTGGTGGCTGTATTGTAGTCATATACGTATATACAAATATACTCCGTCCTGAATGTCTTTACCTCATACATTTCTTTTTAAATATTAAATGGTAAACACATACAATATCTGGTATTCATAGCTTTAATTTCCTTAAGCTTTTATTGTTATTTTAATTGTAACAAATACATGTACCTATAGTATATGCCAATATTTTTGCATTTTTAATTTTATATTTTACAATTCATGCACATTAAGAGAGGAATCACAATGCTGTATTAGGAAGTACAAGAATTACGTTACAGTGTCCTAATATTTACGTTCAACTAGTTATATTTCGTTTGGTGAATTTGTTTTAGATTAGATGCGGGGACATAGGAAAATGCCAGAAAAATTGTACAGACAATGACGGTATGTACTTAAATTGAGCATTGCAACCTATAGCAATGTAACTGAAATATTTGTTTTTCTTAAAAGTTAACATCTTTTCCTGTTTGTGATATGAAATATCAAATTATCAATAGTAAGATAAAATCGTCTGTTTTATGTAATATCTGAATCCTGGCAAAATGAGAAGCTGCCTATCACAATTAAAGGCCAGTTACGTAGCTAACAATATTTTCTGCTATACAGTGTCTCATACATTCATGAATTGTCATATAAAGAGTATTACGATAACCAAATTTATATATGATGATATCTTTCAAAGATGAAGAGTCCGTTCTAAAGCGACGACGAAGGAATGCAAATGGTGGTTCAGCCTCAGGTATAACTGGTTTCTTACGATTTATTATTTGAAAATAAAGTATCAATATCATTTCTTGATTATATTTTGTGCAGTAACATAAATCAAACTTGGTTGGTTAAAACATATACACAACAGAATTTTTAAATTTTAAATCAATTTAAATATTGATTTTTTTCAATATTTTACGACAAAATAATCTGAGTAAATCACTGTTGTTGAATGCAAATCATCGAATTAAGTAATATGTTCGGATATAAACAGTTTGTACAATTAGTTTAATTTGATTTATTTTGCAGACAGCGCACAAAATACAGCAAGTACAGCTTCGACCGCAAACAGTATGTGGCCCTCCTTGACGGAATGCGTTTCTACAGAGAGCTCAGGAAATACTGTCTCTTATCCAACAATGACTACGTACAGCACAGGAAGCTCAGTTTACGTCACAGACAGTTCAGGATTTAGCCCATCAAGTGATGTCTCTATACGATGCACTATGGCCCCAACAGAAAGTTATCCCTCGACAAGTGCAACAAGTACTGACTTCATGTCAGCAAGTTCGGCCTCTATGCCAGCAAGCTATTCTTCTATGCCCCCAAGTTCTGCTTCTATGGCATCAAGTTATCCTTCTATGCCACCAAGTTCTGCTTCAATGCCACCAAGCGATTCTCCTATGCCACCAAGTTCTGCTTCAATGCAACCAAGTTCTGTTTCAATGCAACTAAGTTATTCTTCAATGCCATCAAGTTTGGCTTCTATGCCACCAAACTATTCTACTATGCCACCAAGCTCTGCTTCTATGCCATCAAGTTATTCGTCTATGCCACCAAGTTCTCCTTCGATGCCACCAAGCTATTCTACTATGCCACCAATCTCTGCTTCTATGCCATCAAGCTATTCGTCTATGCCACCAAGTTTACCTTCGATGCCACCAAGTGTTGCTTCTATGCCACCAAGTTCTGCTGCGATGCCAGCAAATACTGCGTCAATCTCTCCAAGTCCTGCTTCAACTGCAGCGAGCGTTGGTTCTGTATCTGCAAATACTGTTTCCACGATGGAAAGTGCTTCTGCTGTCATATTAATTACCGCTGAGATCTTCAGGAAGACAAATGAAGGTAAGATAGAAGATTAAGAAGACAGAATTGCTGTTCCCAGTGAATGGTTGAAAATCGTATTAATCTATCTAGAGTAAGTTACTTTTCATGTTTATAAACAATACTTAATTTACCGAGTGTGTTTATCAGTGTAAATTCTTACCCACCAGAAAGTATATATGACGGCCAACCATCACAGTTTCAGGCATGTTTCCACGGAAATATTATGTTTTGCCAGGAAGGCAATTTGTTTTTGCACGACTCCAATTTCCTACCGGGAAACATCACAAATCATACCGTTCCAATGCAAACTATTTGAAGCATTATACCGCAAAGCATGGAACATATGGCTTCAGTCATTTTTTATTCATTTCATCAGATTTTATTGACTTTATATATGGCAATTGGATTGGACATCAGGCTAGGCCTATTTAAGTCCTTTCCAAACTTATTTACAAACTTTACATATATTCTGTCATAACAATCCAATTAAACAGTGCAGGGGAGATAACTCCAATTTAGCTTGTGAAATGAACATTTTACAACATTTTCTGTTTATGTTTTAGATATTAACAATTAAATAAATCATGTATATTTATTGAAAACCCATCCTACATAAAATCCAAGGGATACAGGCCCAAAAGGCCATTTGTATAAACACATTGACCATCCACCCACTGGATATATAAGATAAGTTACCAAGAAATAAACATTTTGTAAAATTTCAGAATATGATATGGATTCATATAGGAAAATGTAGTTATTATTATATATTATTGGAGTTGATTCTCTTAAAATTTATTTAACAAAGCATAATAGAATATTCATGTAGTCATTTTTTTATCAGATTTAATAGATTGTAAAAATCAAACTTATGTTTATTTTCTATAAACAAATTATAACATATTATTTGCAGTGTCTTGATTTATGCTATAATTGGATTATAATATATTATAATAATTATATGCATTTTAAAGGGCTCTTAATATTCTAAAATATTAAATTACTTTAGAATTTCAACTGTCAGCCTGACCAAAATGTAATCATCACTCTTATGCTACCGTCCTCTGTATATGTCATTCTGGTCTTTGTCGTCTTTTCCACTTAATATGTCCAAAAATAATTTACAAAAATTGTTAATTGTAAATACTTAAAATTAAAATAAAAAATGGACATATATTCACGATACGATTATAGCTCTTGATAAATTGTCCTCAGAATGGAGGTAAGAAATTTGGATAAGGCCTTGTTGGAGCAAGCAACTAGCAGAACCAGCAATAAAGCGTTGTTTATGATTCTTATAATGTTTCGGAATCCAGTACCAACGACACATGTCCGTATCCTTATAATTAACCAGTACTCAGATAGATAGCAATACAGAAGATGTATCATTAAGTATTTCATTATCTTACAATTAGATCATGCACATGTTTAAGTAAAGCGTCCTTGTTTATCAAGCAAAAATACAGTATACTCCTTTTGTAAGTAATAAATGGAACAATGCCGCTCTCAAAAACACTGATTTTAGAATATTTGGCTGACGACACAACCACACGCATCTACTTATAATGTTGACAGTTGAATATGAATAACAAAAATCCGGGTTCGAATAACTCATTTGTATATAATCAGAGGACAAATGTGCCAAGACACCATCTGTTTTAAGGAGAATACTTTCAAAATTCCCTTTAATACTTTACTAACTTTTGGAGTTGTTTTTTAAGAAATATTTTCGACTGTATTTATTTGTTTCAAAGATTGATTTTTTTAATATATATATGTATAAACAAATTTTCCTTTGTTTCAGAAATAAAACTCAAAGTCCCAGGAACGTTGTCCGCACTCCTTGCCAACAACAGTGTGGAAAATGTAACAAAACATTTCAGGACACAATTTGCCGATCACTTAAACGTGACCGAAAGTCGGATAATAAACCTACAATTCATCCAACGTGAGTAAAGTAATTACAACTTCATGTCGAGGACCACCGGAAACAAATAGAAGAAAATCATAAGCGATGCAACCTAGTTAGTTTTTGTGCAATGTGTAATATCATGTATTGTTTTAAAAATTTAAATTTCGATGTGAAACATGTTTAAATACCAGACAATATTAACAACAAATGGGAAAATGGATTACAACCGATCGATATTTCACTGAAATCGGATTCTGTCATGACATTATATTTATTCCGTTATCGAAATACGTTTTGTTAAGATAATATTACATTCTCCTAGTATGAGAAATAAAGAAATACAATAGATTGATTTGGCAACACGACTTTACCACAAAGTTTTATTTTATCGTAGTCTATTATATTTCACATTTTTGTCTTTGTTATTAAATGTACAGTTTATCGTATTAAACAAAGTCTGCAGTTAACAACTGTGTTTTCGCCATTTCATTTTGTACATGAAAAATAAATGATTACAGTCTTGTCTGTATGTTTACTTATTTTGAATAACACGAAAACATCATTGTTTTGTTCGTATAAAGGAAATATGATTGATTGATCAATCTATTTATCAAATTAGTCTCAACTAAGCTAGCATAATACCTAAGAAATATTCATAAAAAAAACCAGTTTTAATTGACGATTATTCTGGGTATTTTTTGTCGTTTAGTTTATGACAACCCTATACTTATTTCAGTAACAGAAACCGCCAGAAGACGAAAGAGAGCAGTTTCTCAATCTAGTATGTATACATTGTTAATCGTATATCTGTATTTGGTGTATATGTGTTTATTGACAATAATGCAGCGGTGACTGTTTCATCTATAATTGACAAAGTAGATGTGACATGACTTACGGGTTACCCATATTCACCTAATCTTCATTATTCCCGTTACAAAACGTAGTTGTCAACAACATTGCGTTTCATTGCCACCATCTGTAATGCACTATTATGACATTATGTCTCACTTTCGTCTCCATATAGCCTATATCTGTAACGGTATTGATAAGAAAGTTATTTAAATGGTGGCATTGCGATATCACATGTTAGTGAGTTTGCAAAAGTAGCGAACTGCATTATATATAGATTTTATTGTCTAGATATAGGAGTGACATTTTAGTAAGTTTTTATGTTTATAGATACGGGGGGGGGGGGGGGGGGCAATTAATCGAGATATTTATGTAATTATTACCACAGTCCACATGTACATCTATTTGTGTGCAAGAAATAATTACTTTTTGTACAAGAACGTCTTTTAAATAACGCTACAAGCTACTACATAACTGTATTTAATATCTCATAAGACACTACACTAGACGTATGGATATTAGTAATGTAACCTGATACACGATGTCGTTTCATCAGACTATTATTTATATTTAAAGCTTTCGTGATCGTGAGTTTTGAAATAATACCTGCAACATCATCATCACAAGAGACGATAGCCGCTTTGGTAATTAGGTTGAGAAACGATGTCTTGGGCGGAAACTTCACGCTCACTGACACATCGGGAAATCCCATCAGCGTTGATACAACATACTTCAGTACGGCAACTGTCAGTGCAGATGAAGCTCCAGGTACGTTATGTGTCGTTATGTTTATCCTTGTCCCAATGTAAGCCAAACACTAGAAAGAGTAACATTGATACAACATACATACAAGGTATTTTTTAAGAAAAGACTTACATGACTTACATCTGGTCACCGTTTCACAAAGGTTTGTTAACCCTAACCAGGGACACCATTAAAAAACAAATGCAAATTATTTCTCAAAACACATCGATCTTATTTGTCTTGAACAATCTACAGCAGTAAAATCATATCAGATGTTATTGTTTTTGTTGTATTAATATTTACATATTTACATATTTCTCTAACCAGTTGACATCTCTAACTAATATATGAACAACAGACCATGATCGTTGTAAACAAAAAGTCATATGAATTATTTACAGATGTCATTGGTCTCCAATTGTTAAATACATTTTTGTTATTTTGCAGAGAAAAGACGTGACATAGTGCCGATTATAGTAGGAACCGTTGTGGGCGTCTTTTGTCTGGCTCTCATCTTCATCATCATCGTCGTTGTAATTCTGAAAACGAAGAAACACAACAAACACAACTCGTTAGTGTCGCCCACCCCCTCGCCATCCTCGAGTGGAGGCAAGCCAACACGATCACCTTGTAAGTCTGGTCATGAATTAATATATACATAAAAGGAATCGGTGAGTGGAATTGATTAATTGTTCGTTATCATATCTCAACACATTAACCATAAACCTAAATGAAGGTATATTTAACTTTCTTCGAGTGATTTGATTAGACAATATTTAAGGACAAGAACACATATTCATGAAACCGTTCTAATATTCCAATAAGATGACGTGCACAAGACCCGTATTCTGGCAAACTTCATAGAGATGCAATGATGTTAGTGACGTTAAGACATACAAAGTCGAGTACCGATTTAAGCTTCTAGACTTTACTTTTTCACTGTGTTCTATGATTTTGGTGAATTAAATGAAAGTTAGCTGGAGCATAAAATCTGTGCTTAAGCGTGAAATAGTTTCATTCGGTCTCTGTACTAGACTGCAGTTACTGAATTATGTTGTTGCCTGCTGCTCCAATCGCCGTTTCACTATTTTGTTTAGATTGGAAACGAAGCAACCTATATATACCACTATATTATTAAAGATTACCCTGATAACATGGAAACGAAACTGTTCTCCAGAGAGTGTACAAGTCCTGGCGAAAATAACCGCATTAGAAATAATAAAACAAACTACATTTAACATATACTATGGACAGAGTAAGCAACATAGATTAATTAAAATTTGCTTTAGTATATTAGTTTCTGTATTTTTTTAAAGCTTTCTTTATGCCTTGAAATGAAAAACCAATCACCATTGTAATCAATCTGCTATGTAATTAATCCTGATTCAGACGATGATGGTACAGCTGGTCCACTACCTGAAAAGAACTCAAATGACATGAGAAACCAAAGTTCTGTAGTCGAGAATGAAACAGCTCCAGGAACGAGCACTCGTCCGGGGTCTGAATCGCAAACACAAGATAGGTAATCGTTAGTTGTTTATCACTCGGAATGTTCTTGTTTATTTAAGTTTTTGTTAAGACAGCTAAAAAACATGGTTTATTCAGTTCGTGTTTAAATTTTCAATAGGTAAATTTAAGTTAAAAAGGAATTATTATTTTTGATAAGCGAAAAAATACTAGAGCTTTCCTGACTACAGACTTTGGTTTATAATGCAATTCTTTGAGTATTTTAGATAAAAAGTACAAAATATACGTGCTTTATTCAGCCTTGCTTAACTATTAATTTGAAATAATTTTATTCACATTATTTTGATATTTTTTGCAGGAACTAACGCCCACGACTGAATGGAATGTCGAATCATCGGAACTGCGTGTACACCGTAGGCAAAGTCAATACACCAAACAATGTAGGAACCAGGTTATACTCAACGGATTGTTTTTAAGAATGAATTTCTATGTTCCTGGCATCAACATCCAATGTTGTCATTTTATGATGAATCGAATAATAAACATTTTCACTTTTTTAACAACAGCACGATCTTTAGGTTACGACTGTGCTCGAAAATCATAATACCAGTTAGAGCAAGAAATAGCAAATGGAAGCAAATTAGCCTAATCAACCACCACAAAAACAGACTTCAAATTAGTATATTGATATAGACAAAAGTTGTTATACGTCACCAAAAAGGACATGGACAGTCGATAGGAAAGAGAAGAACAGAAACAGAAGATAGATCGCAACCAATTATAACACGAGTGAACCTCAAATAAAACAGGAAGTAGAAACGTAGTGAACAGGAAGGATCACCTACACATCTGGAACTAGGCATGATATCTCCTGTGGAATCTAGGAATGTCTGTTTGTCTACATAAATCTAAGAAACAGCAGATAAATGATGTGTCCTTCATATTTTGAAAATCTTTTAGAAAGAAAACAATAACCAACAAATTTTCAACACAAAACAGTGACTGAACAAAAATGCAAACTGGTTTCTTTATGTGTTTTTATACCATTTTTTATTGATTGTTAAATTGTTTATTTTGACTGGAATGATGTGTCTGTAAAACATTTGTGATAATATTCCAACATATATTTATCATTAACATATTTCAATATATAGTGTAAATAGATGTACATTGTCTGCAATGATTTATTGATTGAATGAATGATTGATTTTTTTTGTCATCATCTTTCTATTCCATTTTCATCTAAGTTTTTTTCATGACCATGATACTGTGTTTAATGAAAGATTACTCATGAAGTTAGTTTTGACGACGCATGTTTAAATGATGCTATATTTGTTATATGTAACTTGTTAAAATATATCATATTTTATATATATTTGTGTCTAATAGTATATTTTATCAGTTCTCCCATCCTAGTTTTCCATTAAAAGGACATTATTGTTAAATATAAAAATGATTGCGACAAATTTCAAGCTGGAGAAAAGAATTAATAATTTGTAACTTTTTTGGAAATCCTACTAACTACCTATTAAATGTTGAATTTACATATAAATCAATTTTCTTTTTTCATTTAATGATAATGAAACTATTTCTGGCGTTAAACGTATTTGTATAGACATTCGATTGTAATGATTTTTGTTAGTAAGTATGAAATAACTTTTTTCAAATTTTAGTAATCGTCGCTCTCGAAAACGGATAATATTTTAGGAAAAGTTCTGTATATTTTTTATGGAAAGTGAATGCACTTTCAAGTTTTTGTTAAGGTATTTGGATGAATAAAAATTTCAATTTTCTGCAATTCTGTCTTATGTTTTTATATGCTTTTAGATTTAAAAAAAAATAATACCGTGTTGTGGTAATAACAATATCTGGAATCCGTGATTCCAAGGCTAGTAAACTTTCCGTTTTGTTAACGCGAAACCTCTATCCAGTGTAATTACAACTCAAGCAACTATACAAATCCAATACTACAGGTTAAGGATTTGAAAACGACCGACCATAGATAGAAAAAATACTATTTTCTTTCTTATTTTGGTTACATTTGGCTAAACAAAAACAAAAGAAAAACAAAAGAAAAATGCATTTTGAAAACTGGCTTAAAAAACCCTGAACGCTAACCAGGCTTAGACAGTTCTGGTGTTCAGACGCTGATTGCTATATTTATACAATTAGTTCAAGCGTTGCTTCAATAAGTTCTAATATATTCACCGACTAAATAACTATCTGCTTTCACCCTTCACAGGGCTCTGCAGGTTTATTTCAAAAAGTTTAAATATATATATTCTACCTTTGAAATTTTAGTGATAACTATTACATATTGTTGAAGAAAACCATTTTGGCGATTGTCTATGCACGGTATCAGCCTCTTATAAGGAAGTGAATACACACAGGAATTCTACAATAATCTAAAGACTTTTTCATCTATTCATTTATTGTTCAAAAATAACATTCACATCAGTGACAGAGGTAAATTTTCTATTCAATTTCTTTAATCCACTAAATCTCAATCTATTTTCTTTGTTTCGATGACAAATAAAGTGTGCCGAGCGATAAACATAGTATATTTTTATGTCAATAAAAGCATGAAACATGACCAGGGATTAAATTACAATTAAGAAAAAAAAATCAACGATGTGGGAATATAAACAGCAGTACAATATATCCTCACCTTAAAGAAATTCCAAATAGCACCCAACGTCTCGTTTAGATTTAAATGTTGAAGTTGTCATGTCATACTAGAAATTATATATAGCTAGATGAGTTAGGAACTTAAATCAACAACGCAAAGAAAAGGCTTGGTTGTGAACACATGAAAAAGATATGATACAAACGAATGACATGCAAAAAACAACATATATTTCAACTTTTAAAAGTTTGATTAAATGTTTGAAAATACTACAATAATAATTCAAGTAGTTTTAATTTTCTTTTAATGCTGTTGTTTTGGTGTTCGAGTGTTGATAAAACTGAGTTGTGTTTTATAGGTTCCTGATGTTTCTAGCTTCACTTCATTATTTTGTACATAGCATGCTGGTTAGCGTGAGGTTCAGAACAATATTTCGCAAATGCATTTACTCTAAAAATATAAAACAGATGATATCCATTAAAGTTAGGTTGATGAACAAATACCTAACAGAATGAAAATATATCATATACAGATTTTAACAGTTCACATGCTTTATTGTTCCAAGTGAAGCTATACTTGCCGAAAAGATAACATGTTAGGGAAAAACAGTAATGATATTCCTCACTATGTGTATCTCTGTCTAAGAAAAATATCAAAATAAATAAAGATATGAAATATCTAAACTTTATTTCTTTTGCAACTATTATGAAACAAGTAATTTCAGCTTATATTTATCACACTTGTTGACCTGAATGTTAGCGCAGGGGGGGGGGGGGGGGTGCTTAATGAAGGAGGATCATGGAGTACTGGGGAAAATCCACCTGGTCGGGCAGATAACCCTATACATTTTCATGTTGATCGGGGAACCAAAGCCTGGTCGCCTTGGTTAAGGGGAGTGAGATATCCATTGCGCCACCAAACCACCCCAAAAATAAAATAAAGTAATGGCTATCAATGTTAAAGCCCCGAAAAATCTACAAAAACGGTATTTGCCATACATTTATAACAATAGTTACATATATACGCAGGCATATATACATATCTAAGGCATAAACATTTAAATCACATGCACATTTATGTTTTTCAGGTGAACCAAGAGAGACATCACGCTGTTAGTATGAACGCTGTCAGTTTCATTTTTCTCGCTATTAGTATGAACGTCCGAAACTGAATACAAACACCTTTTTTAATTTGGTTGTTGACGTTTCCCATGTCTAGCGGCGGATGGTAGACGTGACTGTTACCTCTTTAAATGTCAGTTAAAGGTTTCTCGATTATATATTATCTCTATTAATTCCAAATCCACTGGTTCTTTGCTGGGAATGTCTACCTTTTTCTTACACGCTTTTTCCATCTCTGCATGATATTCATGGAATTTCGGAATTACTAATTTCCAGATTTCTTCTTTGGGTGGATCCATGGGTATTTGTTCCGTTTTTGTTCCCCAAGCCAATTCGGGAAATTCACTTGTTACTAAGCACATAGTAGTTCGCAAATCCTTAAATCCTTTATCAAAAATGTCGTTGACCTTCATTTTATAAGGCATAACGCCAGTTCCGGGTTTACGTGACGTTTTGTTATCCAATGCACCTTCCAGGTCATTCGCGTCATTATTTGTGTCGCATAGACGGTCAAACGTATCCTCTATACACGAATCCGGTTCTTGATCTGGATTGTTCTGATCTTTATCTTCTTTGTTTATACCAGGTTTCCCATTTTCCTTATTCTCGCCATTGCAAACAAGATATCGCTGATTATCGTTGCTCTTTTGATGTAAATATGTTACCGTAGCTTTTGTAACGTTATTTGCGCATATATCTTGGAAATTAAGAATGGCTTTGTTTAGAATTTGTCGCCAGACCTCCATCCACATAACGACACACCAATCCGCTCTACAGCAATTATCTGAAAGACCGCTAGGTTCCCATGTATATCTTATAGGAATCCTGTATGACGTCCCCCACATATTCCTATTTCTCATGAAAAAGGTTGGCATGATTCCTTTCCCAAAATTATCCTTCACATACTTGATGATATCCATACAGCACCTGACAATATCAGGCGAACCAACGCAATGACAGTCGTACTCATGGAAAAGGACGGCCGTTTTGAACACGTATGATGACAGACAAATATTTTTACGTGGTTGGTTGACATTAGTTCCATCTGTCAGAAGATACTTTATTATCTTGTAGCACCGTTTGTGAACTGGATGCAGTTTTTGCATCAATGCCACCTCTGCTGTGGCGAAAGATGCCTGTAGGAAGGGAGTTTCGGAATGATGCCCTGATGCTTTATACACTAGATGGAAATCTCTAGCTGTCATAACGTCAGTCATATGCTTTGGAAATCCTTCTAAGGTAGTTACAAGAGAAGTATCCCTCACACTAACGGCTGGCATGACATCAACATCTACATTCAAATGATACATGATATCACATTGAACGTCTTTTTTCGACAAGCCCTTTGCAAGTTCTGCTCCTTCATATATATCGTGGAATTGTACCCATTCTAGTTCTAAGGCAAGATAACGTGATTTGCGAACAATCATTGCCCCTTTTGGCGTGACTACACTGTAACCTTTAATAGTATCCAAAACCGTGGACAATAGCTTGCTGTATTCGTCTCTCAGACCAGCAGGGTGAATACACCAAACATCGCCATAAAGTTGCATAGCAGTTAGGTTCATATTGGATGGTTTTGACCGAAGAAATGCTATCATGTAGCCCGGTTCACAGCCTTCGTGCGCCTCAATTCTTACTATGTCCTCATTAGAGAGAAAATCAAGGCAGACCATAAAATCGAATTCATTTGCAGAACGAATCTTTGTCTTTTCCACAAAACTGCCAACATTAATTATTTCCTTTACATTCAGAAATGGATCAAGTTCACCGATTTTATTCACGATGTGTTTAACAATATCCACGGTAGCCTTGTACATATAGCCTCTTGTAGCAGAGTCTGTATGGAGGTCACAGTAGGAGTCTTCTATATGCTGAAAGAATCCTTGCAGAGCCATCTTCATTTGCTGTCATTCATGTGACCCACTGATATAAAAAACAAAAGAAAATCTAAAATTCAATTTTTTTGTGTTGCTTGCAAGGTATTTAAGCAAAGGTCAAATATACACACACTCACACACTAGTGATTAAACATAGACACTCAATTACTTAATTAGTCAGTATTTGAAATATAATGTCACGAAAGCATTATATTACTGCCTTGCAGTGTATTGTGACCCCCCCCCCCCCCCCCCCCCCCNTGCCACATATACTGACATGTGATGTTGAATATAGTTTCTTTTGGTAAGCATAGATAACAATTTCAATGAAAAGGAATTAGCTAAAATATATATATATATAACAGCAACTACGGATATATAAAATTGTTTTGTCATCTACAATATATCATTATGATCATACATAATATAATAACATAGTTGTATAATGTTTTCATTCAAGTAGACTTTCATTGATTGTTTACATGGTAATGCTACTGGTTTGGATTCAGTTTTATCCCAGTGAGTCACCGGGTATATATTATAATGTAGATAGCACACATACGGATAGAAGACATACAAGATAAAAAGAAAATAGCACAAAAAAAATCAAAGTAAAGAAGAACATGTTTAGGATAGTAAACATGTTTTACTATTCAATATTTGCATTGCCCTATCTTGATACATTGTATGGCAGTAAAGGATTGCCAACAAGAAACCTCTCTGTGAGACCCTGACAGGTGCGCAGAGATTTCATGTGATGACAGCATTTCTTACCTTACGACGTTTCCTTGCAGGCAGATGCAATACAATTGACAATATTAATTAAGTGACATATATAAGGTACATTCTTGTTGTAAGCAGACAGGCATCAACCAAGTATGGTATAGTGATCGACTCTCCAGTCAACATACTCGCAAACACATCAATATCCTGATATGATTTTCCATCCATTATGTTAATACTTTCGATATGCCTATATGTAACACCATTGGGCACACATACTGGAGTGTAAGGCGTACATCATTCAGGTTTAATGTACACTTATAAATGTGTCGCTTGAGAGAGCAATGCGTGCTACATCGATGTAAACGTTATACAATATAACGTATACTATGCGCCACTAGCCTTGTTTATTGTTCGGATGAGATTATTAGGTTTTTGACCTGGACTGTACGGTTAGGGAAAGATTTGTCTTCGACAACATTTTCAGGTTTTGTGTATGTTAATAAATGGATATTTAACCAATGGAATGATATCTTAAATATGTTTCTACGGTGTCTCTCTCGTTATTCAGTAAATACCCGACTGACTTCCTGTCACATATGCGTACAATCTCTTTCCATGCGCAATGACAATAAAACATGTTAAGTTGTTCATGGTTTTTTAAACATTTAAGTTATACAGTGTTTTGTGTATAAACGCAATCGCTATGTCAAGCGTATTAGATTACCTTTTTTCTACACATTCGGTTCAATGGTGTCTGTTGTATCGATTTATAAATGATTACATTTATTCATACAATCTTTCTTGTTAATGAAATAATCTTTGGACAACATTACCACTATGTAAGTATACTGTGGTCGTATTAATGATCCCTGACCCACTGTACGTTTTATTTTTGTATATATACAGTAATCCCCCCTTCGAGCTAAGGTACGGATATTCGTAGGCCAGGGTTCGAATCCCGGTCGGACTTCGCTAATCTTTTACACTTAGGTATTGTTAATATTTTGTTTATGTCATCTATATTATTTACAATCATCTATAAACTGTATACATATCCCGAAAGTTACGTTTTTCTTTTCAAAAAGTATTTATCCGGGCTATCGAAATGCCGGAGTAAACGAATTTTCTAATGCATAGTTTCCGTTGTTTTAAGTGGTACGAGGATCCTTAAGTACCACACACGAAACTTGTATTCCGAGTTGTTATCGACAGAACGAAACGTATTCAGCAGGTGTTACAGTTGTAAGGTTTGTTTTTAAGTTTTTAAGTACATTTTATTTTTAACTCTTCTTCTAACAAGCAGTAAGTAAAACCTTTAAACGGTTTTATCCATTGCTTCATTCATTTAAACTGCTGGATGTGTTTCATGGACAAAAATTTATTTAATGCTGTGGTTGATACATAGTGTAACAAAAAGTTCAATCAATCGTTTGACTGTGTCTCAAGGTTTCAAAAACTCTAAAAACTAAATTTCCCCAGTACTGCATCAATTTTGATTGACGAGTGTAAGAACAATTATTCTTACAATGCAATACCTTCACATGAGCGTTCAGCTTTTCTTTCACATTTTTACGATACAACATCTATTCTGAGACTGAATTTACATTTATTTTATAAGATAGAGATATTGAAACTGATCGCATCAGTAGCGATTCCGATATGATAGACCAGTATCCATTCAGAGTAATTAGATGCGTAATTTCCACTTTATGTTGAACAAATAACTATGAGAGTGATATACATATATATGCAACATATGTATTACTTATACATCAACAACATACATCTTCATCTTATAATCAAGTAACCAATAACATATACTTTGGCGTAAGGGGCAAACTCAGTTGTAAACAAACCCTACATTACAATATACATACTAGTACATGTATACATGTCCTTTGTTCCTCTAAGTGTATGTAATCGTGAAATGTGCAGGTATTAGTTCTGCATCGCATATATATTGTATATAGTTGAAGTAGTGTACATATGATCAGGAGGAACAAAGGTCATGTAGAAATGGGTAAATTCAATGGCCTCAACTCGGTGTAGGCGAGCGGATTCTAGACTATCTATGTGTAGTCTCGCTACACGAGTAAATAGTGCTAGGCATTGCTACAAGAGCCGGAAGAGACTTATTGAATCCATACCCCTCAACTCGGTGTAGTATGTGTGTGTATAGCTACAAGAGCCGGAAGAGGGGTATGCCCATATATATATGGACAATCTATAGCTAGACGTCCTCAACTCGGTGTAGCGGAGCTATCAAGAGCCGGAAGAGGAGAGCTAGAGAGACTGCATTAGTGCCATATCCTCAATGTAGCGGTGCTGCCACAAGCTGGGATATAGAATTGGATTCTCTGAATATGGATATGAAGTAGAAATTTTGGGGAGTTTAATTATTAATTGTTTGATTCCAATTTGAAAAATAATAAATAAATAAAGTATGCCAAAAACTCGAGGGTGTGACCGTAGGGAATAGACTGAGTTGCCCCAAAATATTTCCACCAGGATTTATTGGTAACAGATATCAATCTATATTTTTTTGTTCGACTTACATATTATTCAATATTGAATGTAATCAATTAAATTTGATTGACCAGGAAATGAAATATCAGTTTCAATATTGAGTATAAAAGATGTTTTTTCTATAACTACACTATATAACGTACTGACAGCTAATTAGCTAATTATAATTGACTAATTGTAGTATGCCACAGAAACAATAAATACAAATAATGTACCGCTAATAAATGATAAATGACTAAGAATCTGTTATGAACTGAGCGGAAGTATATATATAACAAGCAAATTAGTATATGTGCAATGCGTTACACAGATAATTGTTATTTTGACACTTTGTCGAATTTTAGTGTAACACAGCCATACAGACGATTTATACGTATATACGTTACTTTGTCGAATTATGTCAATATTACCTACCTGACCGAGTTAATAGATTAACGGTGAACAAGGTCAATATCCGTCATAGTTGACGGCTATAAGATCAATAAAATTTGTCTCCTACTTATTTAGGTTATTTTAATACAAACAAACGTAGCTCAATATTTGCAAAGAATCAAAATAGGACAACATCTATTTTTGTCTTTTTATTTTTATATCTAAACAAAATATCGGATGAAAGGAACTTTCCAGAAAAATAGCATCAAGAAAATGATGACAACGATAAGATGAAGTATAATATCAAAACATTTATTTCTTGATTAACATTATGCATGGATAGCTAAGGTACCGCACGATAAAATATTGTACAATATAGATCTGGTAAAAAAATGAATTGAAATCATTGCTTTGATAAAACAAATATATGTAACTCTTTCATTTCATTACAAAATTTACTTTTTATGCAAAGTTATGAAAAATGTATATAAACATTACACAGGTAAAAAATTAAAAGCTGTATCTCCAACCAAAATGGAATTCCCACTCCAAATTTAAATACACTGACTAACAGTTCTATTTGACCGATATAAAAAGAATTAGTTCATTATAAACAGATAAGGTATTGTTTTGATCAATGCATTGGTTCCCTAACCTTGTGAATCAATAATCAAATAACTGTTTCTTTAAAATAATCCAGTCTTATACAAATAGTGACCTTATAAAGATATAAACATTTCGATAGCCAGTGTACCCTGTAGTCCCGATCCTTTATATCGACAGACCTCCACCTAATAAATTTAAAAGTTAATGGCCCGTGGGCCATGTTCATTGCTATTATCATTGGGATCTTCAAAGCGCTGATCGATCGGCTGGTAACATTCATGAGTATTATTAAATGTGTTTATCAAAACGATTTATGATTTTTTTTCATGTATTAGCTTTAGCTATAAAAGATGCACTGATGCTATTTTTCAGATAAATGTTGTACATAGTACTTCAAAACCTCGAAAAGGACATCTATCATTTTGGTATTATACCCGAGGCACACAGACCTGTTGTATAGCACTGTGAAACAGTACACACTGGATTTTATTACCGTCAACATATGCAGTTGATTTAATTACAAATGATCAAACAGAAACAGTTTATAAGAGAACTGTTTTGAAATTAAGGTAAGAAATGCGTCCGATTTATCTAGAGTGTTTTAAATATACATGTGTGTGTAAAACCATATTTTATCTTTTATTGTTTAAATCCCCAGGAAACCTCTACACTTCTATAATATTTCGTTAATATTAGAATTATAAGATGTTTCAGCGACAAGTCTCGTACATTTTTTGTTTAAATACTAAATTAATTATTTAATTGAAACGTTGTCGACCATTTAGATAACAAAATGATATTGTTTACTTTGCAGAGACATGGATAGGGATAATGCAGATGAGATACCGGTATGTTATTTTAATATTTTAATTAAAAAAATTAATTGAACATTTTCACTAATTTAAATCATCATTTTCATTAGAATGTTCGTAGAAACTATGATAATGAAACACGTACAGGGAAAAACGTTGTAGAATGATTTAGCTTTAAAGATTCATTTATTGATATAAATACAATATAATTTTTACCAAAAAGGTAGGTTATTTTACATGTTAGTATCGCTATGAACTCTACTCCGAATACTCACAACAATTTTTTTCGTAGTATATGCATTGTTCATTACCGTAAAGTTAAATATATTTGTGTTTGTACGTGAACCTCAAAACCTTAGATCCAAAGTTACAGCTACCATAATTGAAAACTACATTGTATGTGCATTTCAATATGGTAAATGAGAAATTATGGTTCAGATACCATTGCCAATTTTGTTTATAAGTGCATATTGGAAACCGTGTTTTTCCGCATCACGATATCTTTAATGAAATACTTTTGAATAGAATATTATACCTTGCAGAATATTTTTGATGAAAACATTAAAGATGGAATAAGCAAAACATAATCATCAACAGTGTTGAGAGTTTAAAAAATGTGGGGTTAGACTTGGATTTCAACTCCGGACTTTAGATTGTGATACTATCGCTCTAAACGACTGTGCTACCTTGTCAACGTAAAAGTTCTTACCCAAGTGTGTTACACCTATGACCAAAACGAAATCAAGGGAAGGTGACTGTTTAAAGGAAAAAACACAATGCAGTGGGACAGGGAACCTTAATTATACAAACAGTGGGACAGGGATCCTTAATTATACAAACAGTGGGACAGGGATCCTTAATTATACAAACAGTGGGACAGGGATCCTTAATTATACAAACAGTG